CACAGGGCTGGCACAGTGGCTTACGCCTGTAATCCCAGCACTTTGGGAGGCTGAGGCGGGTGGATCACCTGAGGTCAGGAGATCGAGACCATTCTGGCTAACACAGTGAAACCCTGTCTCTACTAAAAATACAAAAAATTAGCTGGGCGTGGTGGCGGGCGCCTGTAGTCCCAGCTACTCAGGAGGCTGAGGCAGGAGAATGGCGTGAACCCCGGGAGGTGGAGGGTGCAGTGAGCCGAGATCACACCAGTGCACTCCAGCCTGGGCTACAGAGCAAGACTCCGTTCCCCCCACCCCTGCAAAAAAAAAGAAAGAAAGAAATTTACTCTGTCACAGTTCTGGAGGCTTGAAGTCTGAAATCCAGGTGTCAGCATGGTTGGTTCCTTGCAGAGGAGATGCTGTGCCTCTTTCCTGGCTTCTGTGGCTGCTGGCAGGCCTTGGTGTCCTTGGCTTGCAGGTACCTCCATTGTCACATGGTCTCCATTGTCACATGACATTCTTCCTGTAAGAACACTGCTCCTCAGCCTTAGGACCTACACTAACCCAGGATGACTACATCTGAAAACCACATCTGGAAACCTTATTTCCAATGCAGGTCACATTCTGGGGTTCTGAGTGAATGTGAATTTTCGGGGACACTATTAAATCCAGTACACTAGGGAAATGCTAATATAAAGGACACGGGCCAGGTGCAATGGTGCACACCTGTAATCCCAGCACTTTGGGAGGCCGAGGTGGGTGGATCACTTTAGGTCAGGAGTTCCAGACCAACTTGTCCAACATGGTGAAACCCCATCTCTACTAAAAATGCAAAAATTAGCTGGGTGTAGTGGTGCACACCTGTAAGTCCAGGTACTTAGGAGGCTGAGGTGGGAGAATCGCTTGAACCTGGGAGGTGAAGGTTGCAGTGAGCCAAGATGGCACCACTGCACTCCGGCCTGGGAAATAGAGCGAGACTCCATCTCTAAATAAATGAACAAATAAATAACATGAGGAAGACCACTTCACTTCCATCATACTGGCAAAAATGGAAATGTCTGTGTCATGGGTTGCATTCTACAGAAGTAGGTGGTGTTTAGGGGGGCAAGATGTTTATTAGGAATCATTTCCTGTGAGAGGAACCAGATGGAAGCAGGACTGGGCAGAGGCAGAAATTCAACTGCATTGCAGGCCCAGCAAAGCTTCAGTCAATGTGGTGGGGGCCTCTGAGTGAATATTGCCCCGAGAATGTCCTTCATGGGGCTGAAATGGCTGGGCTTTATATTTCTAGAAGTGCACTGCCCCAGAATGGTAGCCCTCGGGCAAGTTGACTTTCTATCGCTGAGACAGACCTTGAAGGAGCTGATGGCCAACTGCTGACCACACTTCTGTGACCCGGCAGCAAGTCCTTCCCTGAAAAAGGATGTGGGAAGCACATTTACGTCTGACAATACAGAGAGGTGATCTGAATGAAGAATGTGGAAGGCTGAAAAATGATCCCTGCAAAGATAACCATGTCAAATCTCCAGAAGCTATGAGTGTGACCTTATTTGGAAAAAGACTCTTTACACACGTGATTATGTTAAACATCTTGAGATGAGAGAATCCTGGATCATCGGGGTGGACCCTAAATGCCATCCCAAGTATCCTTATAAGAGAGAGGTGGAGGGAGTTTAGCCAAACCCACAGAAGTGAAAACAAAGGAGGCAGAGATTGGAGTGATGTGGCCACAAGCCCAGGAGTGCCTGCAGTCATCAGGAGCTTGGAGCAATCAAGGACAGGTTCTCCCTGGAGCCTCCAGAGGGATCACAGCACTGGCAACTCCTTGGTCTTGACCAGTTAAACTCATTTCTGACTTCTGCCTTACTGGATAGGTCAGAAGAATCCATTTCTGTTGTTTCAAGCCATGGAGTTCATGGTAACTCATGGTAGCTACAGGAAACAAATGCAAACATCAACAGGAAAATTGCTGAGGGGGTGCAAATGGGTGTACTGGGTTAGAGAATCCACCTTAAGGGGCGGCTGTGGGGATCAAAATTTCACACCTATGGAACATTTGGAAGAGTGCCTGGAACACAGTCCCCCTAATATTGGTTGCTCACACCCCGACTCCCTGCTGAGATCTCCTTGAAGGGAACGCCTCGCATGAAAACAAGAAAGAGCCCCCTCCAATGGCAGCCCCACCACCCACCTCAGATCAGAATGCAGCTTCTGCCTGCCCCGCCTCCCCACGGCACCTGGTATAGCCCGCCAGAGACTGATCTTTGGTTTTGCCCCACTTGTCACCTCGACCAGGCTGGACACCCCCAGGATCTCCAATCTCCTGGCCTTCCAGAGAAGGGGGAACACTGAGGATAATGGCAGCACCTCTCTTCTCCCTGTTTTGGGGAAGAAATATCCCTGAAGCCTAGATCTACTTGCTGGGCAGAGGTCAGTAAAATAGGATGGATATGCCAGGCTGATTGGATTTGTAATTCAATGGGGCCCCATGACTGTGCACCCTAAAGGGGCACCAAGGTCTTTGGGGCTCCCTTAGGTGAATTTAACTTGCTTTACTCAACGAGAACACTTTTCTGAAAATGTGCACACTGCATGTATATGGCATGTTACACTTAAACCTAGTTTTAGGAAGGTGTGCTTAAAAGTGAATTTTTTTTTTTCTTTTTTTTGAGACAGAGTTTCACTCTTGTTACCCAGGCTGGAGTGCAATGGCGCAATCTCAGCCTCACCTTCCAGGTTGAAGCGATTCTCCTGCCTCAGCCTCCCGAGTAGCTGGGATTACATGCATGCGCCACCATGCCTGGCTAATTTTGTATTTTTAGTAGAGATGGGGTTTCTCCATGTTGGTCAGGTTGGTCTCGAACTTCCAACCTCAGGTGATCCACCTGCCTCAGTCTCCCAAAGTGCTGGGATTACAGGCATAAGCCACTGTGCCTGGCCAAAGGTGAAAATTTTTATAAAGCAATAAAGTGGCCTGTACGTGAGGAGTTATATTTGTAGCTCACAGTCTTATCTCAAACTCTCCTCCCAGTCCTGCTCCTCCCAGAAATAAATGCCCTTAAGGCCAGAGGTTGCGCCCCAGGCTGGCCCCTCCCTGGTAATGCGCTAAGGCCTCATACCTGCACCTGGTCCTGGTGGTGCTTGGGAAGGGAGAGCCACAGGTGGGCCTGCCATGGCACTTATGGGGGCTCCTTCTTCAGTGTGGGGTTAAGAGAACAAGAATCTGCTCCCCTGGGCTCAGACATCAGAGAGGCACGGGGAATGAGTGCCTCCAGGGCAAGTCCTTTCCTCTATGGAGGGGGAGCGGGGACCTGACTCTGAGTTACTGTCCCCCAGACCAAAGCCCATCCCACTAACCTTCTGGTCTCTTCCCAACACCTGAGCTGGAAGGAGTTTTTGTCTTCTGAACCAGATATCCACTCTGAGTGGACCAGGCTTTTATAGAAAGTGACAGATCTAGGAAGCTGTGGGCACCTTTCTGGGACAGCTGTGTGTACTTTGCACTAGAGGCAGGGGACCTTGCAAAATTATATCCTTCAATTCCAATCAACCCCCAGGGAGATGATGACATGACAGCAAGTCAGCTGTAGCTGGAACCACAAGAAGGCAAATAAATGGGTTTTCCTGCACGTTTACCTGCCCCAGGGAGCGTGGGACAAAACAAGGGGCTACAGTACCAGTTTCTTTGGGTAAAAACAATGTTTCTGTTTCTCATTTGTGTTTTCAAGCTTGCATAAGTACCTACTATATGTCAGGTCTGGATCAGTGATACATAATTCTGGAATCTAAGAGCTAAAAGTCTATAAGTGGAAATCAATCATGGTATATATATCGTGTTAAATAGAAGTATATGAGCAGGTTCTACAGGAACACAAAAGGGGAAACAAGAAAACTCCTGGTGAGGTGGGAGGTGTGATCATTAATTCAGGTTTTGAGGGATGAATAGGAGTTTATCTTAGGTCGCACAGGCGATGGGAAGACATTGTCACCCAAGAGCACACCCAGCACTCCTAATCTCACCCTTCTAAGGCAGCCTCGTGCCTACAAAGGCAGGCAGAGAAGGGCCTAGTATTCGGGGAGGGTTGGCAGGGGTGGGTGGGCACGAAAGGAGGCTGCAGAGGCCCCGTCCTAGGAGAGCCAGGCCAAGCGGGTTCTGCTGTGGGCTGTGGGGAGGCTTTGGAGGACTGTCTACCCAAGGACTCTTTAAGGGAAAGGGGGCTATTTCAGATGGAGGAGAATACAAACCCAAGAGGCCATCAGAAGCTGGAGCGAGTAGAAGCAGGATTGGAGATGGGGGACAGCTTTAAGAGTTGGTATGCTGAGATTTCAAATGTAACTTAGAGGGAGAGCCAGGGAAAGGGGGATCTTATGCTTTTTCTCTACCCGTGCCTCACTCTGCCTGACACGCACACCTCTGGTACATGGAGGAAGGTAGCTGGTGGGTGAATTGGGCACCTAAGCTGGTAGCACTGGGCCCAGGAAGTGGCAGAGACACTGAGTATGCAGCAGACGTTTTCCACTCTCCAGAGATGCCCATCCGAGGGGAGAGAATGCCGGCGCAAACAGGACAGGCCACCTCCGGGTGGCTGCAAAACAACGCTCCCCAAGCACGGAGCCATCTGCCAAGAGCAGCCCCGGCTGAGGGCTGCACACAGGCTTGGCCAATGGTGGGTTTGCAGGGGGAGTGAGACTGCAGATCAGTGAGGACAATGGCCCCTGTGTGCACACACTCTACCCTTGTCCCCAACCGTGTGCCCATCCCCTGCCTTCTTGCCTTTCCTTCTCTTCCAGCCTCACTAGGGACCCCTCTCTCCTTTCCTCGAGAACTTGCTCCAGCTTTTGCCAACTTCATAATACCCAGGAAGGCCTTTCAATAGGCTGCTGGACATCTGGGAGGAGTTGAAGCCAGTGGCACTTTGCTAATGGGGAGACTGTCACAGGTCTCTTTGAGAGTCTGATAAAAGTATAATCTATGCAGAAGAAGCAATGCCCCTCTGCCCACAAACATGGAATTCTGCATAAGATCTCAAGGGCCTTGAAGCCCACCTCCAAGCAAAGTGGGAGAGGAATGACGGTGTTTGAGGTTGTGGTGGGTCTGGAGAGCCTGGCCCGAGGAGAGGCTGGTGCCCGTTTTTTTCTCCCTAGGAAGATTCTGAGGAGGGGCTCTTCAGGTCAGGAGGAAGCCACAGCCCCTAACCCAGTCCCCACTTTGTGGCTTCAGGCAGGGGAGGGACAGCCTGGGAACCGGTCTGCCAACCAGTTTAACCAGGGACTGGTTTCGACTCAGGGAGTTCAAAGGAAGCTGGGGTGCACCCCGTCCTACCCAGCCTGCCAATGGAAGCAGCAGCCCTTAACTCTTTCCTGGTTGTGCCCTGGGCAACATCCAGGTGGTGGTCCATACTGCAGAGGGGTCTGAGCCTCCTCAGAAGATGAAATGGGTGGGGTGACCTTGGCTATAGCTGGGGAGTGCAACCAGACACCCAAGAGTGGGGAAACGGAGAGACAGCCTCCTGTGCTCCTTGACCCCAGATCTCCCTTGGGATTCCCTCCTCCTGCATGGCGGTCCCTGGAGGACCCTGGCTTCTGGGTGGATGCAGGGGCGCTGGGATTGGATTTCTGGCATAATGAATATTCATCAGCCTGAGCCAGCCTCTGCTTCTGTTTACTTAGCCGGGAGGGGCTGGGTTTCAGGTTCACCTTGACTCCAGGAGCTGCAGCAGAGCAGGTACCAGCTCCTGCACCTGTTTCTCTTGCACCTGACGTGCAGCTGCTCCTACCCACCTCTCCTGGCTGAGCCTTGCCTGATACAGCACCCCGGAGGCAACCCTTCCTCCCCGAGTCTCACCCTCTCAGGCAGCTCCTACACTCAACTGCTTCTCTAGGAAAGGTCTCACCTCCAGCCTGGAGCAGTCAGGATTACAGGTACAGGCAGAGGGGTGGTGGGTGGGGAAACCAAGGCACAGACTCCAGTCAGGGCACCCAGTTCTGCCTCCATGGCTGACAAGCCCAGCGGGAAAGAGGAACCCAGGCCTCTAACCTGGTCTCCACTCAGGACTCATCCCACTGCCTCTTGGAGTCAATCCAGGCCTCCAAGAGAGCAACTGCTGAGTAGTTTTCTGTTAACTCTTGCTGAACTGGAGCCCACCCCTCTGACCCCCCAGTCTGGAGCATTTTTCCAGCTGTCTGGTAGGAACATCTCCCCATTCCTATCCGGGGTACCCCCGTCTCATCCTGCAGGCCCCCTAAGTGCCATTGGGGCCCTGCAGAGGGATGGGGGAGGGAGTTCTGGGTTTTGTCTTACAACATATTAGCTGACTTGCTTCCCCTATCGGTCCCCCTGCCCCTTCACCTCTGCCCCAGTCAATGGTTAACTTGACCCAGCTCAGGAGGGGCCTGGCTCAGTCTGGGCAAAGCCCTTCAGAGCAGCTCACTGAACCCAGCTGGGATGGAGGGGCCTGTCCTGGGACACCCATGTGCATGCTATAGCACTGGCCACCAAAGACCGGGGGTGGCAGGCTGTCCCATGAGGCCCTTCATGGCCCCAAAGCTGTGCAAACAGCAGAGGTGAAGTTGGCATCCTCAGGGGCTGATTTCCATCATCCCTGGATTGCAAGGCCCCAGGGCAAGGGCCCAGCCCTTAGCTTGGCCAGCTCAGGAACCTGCACGAGCGAACTGCAGGTCCCACCATGTGTCACCAAATGCTGGGTCTGTTTGACGTCCCAAGCTACCTGCCCCTACTCCCCCAACCCCTTTCAGCCCTCTGTGATGAGGCACGGGCACGCGGTTGTAGGTACCTTGTTCTTTGCAACTTTGAGAATCTGGGAAGTTTGGATATCACATCACCTTTTTTGTTTGCTTGTTTTTAAAGCAAATCAGATTTTACACTATTTTTTATGATGACTATTTACAGGATCCTACAGCTGGGTTATTTTGTAAAACAAAGAATAGTCTGCTAATTTTTCTGTTTTGCAAACTCAGATTTCCATAAGTCCGGCTTGCCTAATGGGGCAAACACCTGCTTACTGGTGCCCACATGTCCTCCTGGGCAGAACAGACAGGAAGGCCTGGCAAAAACAGTATTCTCTTTTTTTGTTGTTTGTTTTTTGAGACAGAGTCTCACTCTGTCACCCAGGCTGGAATGCAGTGGCATAATCTCAGCTTACTGCAACCTCTGCCTCCTGAGTTCAAGGGAATCTCGTGCCTCAGCCTACCGAGTAGTTGGGACTACAGGCACACGACACGACATCCGCCTAATTTTTTGTGTTTTTGTATTTTTAGTAGAGATGAGGTTTCCCCAAGTTGGTCAGGCTAGTCTTAAACTCCTGGCCTTAAGCAATCCTCCTGCCTCAGCCTCCCAAAGTGCTAGGATTATAGTTTGAGCCACTGCACCTGGCCTCTGGCAGAGTATTCTAGAGAGACCAGAGTACAAGGCCAGAATGCAAGGGCATCAGAGCTGATGCTTTGATGGAGGCCCCAGGGCAGGGCACAAGGGCTGTTCCCATCTCTACAGTTTGCTGACAAGTTCCTCATGATCTGCGGCTCCCTTTACGCCAAGGAGAGTTAAGCCCCAGGTTTGCCAACTTGAAATTCCTGTTAAAACAGGTGAATTTTAACGGGCACAGGCAGAAGCCTTTTTCTCTCCGGAGCTAGAAAATCTGGTGGTTATGACAGTCTCAGGAGCTGGATCTTCTGTTCTTCCATTCCCCAAGTTCCTTGGTAGCCCCAAATGGGCAGTGGTGGGGCTGTGGGCCTCATTCCAGACAAGGCAGTGACTGGGGCATCCACAGGCCAAGCAACTGCCCTGTTCCTCCTTCTCTGCTCTCCCCCACCTCCTTCCAGAAACCCATTCTGGAACACTAAGTTCTGTACAAGGCTGTGCTAAGCCCAGGTGGGGCAAGCTGCCAAAGCAAACCTCTCAGGCTGTCCCTAGGTGCGCTCACCTCTCCAGGGTGCCCTGGAAGTATTTATCAAGCCCCTCTCACCGCTCCTTCACTTTCTGAGCATGAGCTGCACAAGATCTCCCCTCAGCTTCTCTTGCTACTTGAGCCCAGCTAAAGGGACAGAGCTGGCAATGTGGGAGCTGCTTCCCAGACAGAGAGGTGTTGGAAGGAACCCGCCGGCTGTGTGCTCTGAGGGAGGGGGTGGGGACATGGAGGATCAGGACACCAGAGCACGAGGGGTATGGATGCAGGCATTCAGCTCATTGTAAAGCCTAGGCCCACATCGTGCTCTCCTCTTTCCTAAATTTGATATGCCCCCCAACCCTTAAATAATCTATACTAATTACGGAAATTCCAGAAATCAGAAAACTAGAGAAGAGAAATCCTCTACTCCTACACAAAGAAAGGCACTATTGGGCTGGGCACGGTGGCTCACGCCTGTAATCCCAGCACTTTGGGAGACTGAGGCAGGCGGATCACCTGAGGTCAGGAGTTTGAGACCAGCCTGACCAACATGGAGAAACCCCATCTCTACTAAAAATACAAAATTAGCCAGGCGTGGTGGTACATGCCTGTAATCCCAACTACTTGGGAGGCTGAAGCAGGAGAGTCGCTTGAACCTGGGAGGCGGAGGTTGCGGTGAGCCGAGATCATGCTATTTTACACCAGCCTCGGCAACAGAGCAAGACTCTGTCTCAAAAAAAAAAAAAAAAAAAGTCACTATAAAAATGCAGTGAACACCCCTCCAGTTTTTAAAAGGAGGTGATACCCTCTAGCTTTCTGGTGTATACCAGCTGCGCCTTCCTTCCTGGGAGCTTTCACAGCCGGCAGCTAGGCATCCCGAGAACCAGACCACTGACCTCGCCAGTCATCACCGTTCCTCTACCTGTTCTGTCATTGATCTTCCTTCATCTAGCAGACTGTCATCTGCTTCTATCTTACATACCCCAGCTATCAATGATGTCCAGGCAACCTTCTCTCCCAGAAGTTCTGCTAGCTCAGATAGCACCTTTGTGGAAATTAGTCAAAGGTGAGGCCCCCAGGGAAGGCAGCTCCATGGCAGGGCACATGGCCTGTGAGTGGAGAAGCCTGGATTTCAGCCCCAAGCCCCGCCCTGAAAGGTACAACCCGTGATGACCATGTCTCCCTGTACTTCTGGGATCCTTCTAATTGCTTTCTGCCTTTTTAGCTCCCCTTCCAACTCCTGTCCTTGTGGAAGCTTGGTGGGGAAAGGGAACCATCCCTTAGTAATTATTCCCATTATCCTAAGTTTTACTTTGCAATGCATGGGTACCTCTGTGGGCAGGGACTAACAGTAGAGCTAAATACTAGGGCTGGATGGGATGGGTGAGGAGACGGAGGCCCAGAGAGGTGGTAGCTTGCCAGAGGTCATGAGGCTAGGACAGCCCCCAGGACTTCCCACTCCCAGCCTGAGGCTCTGACTCCTGCCTTAGGAACAGTCCAGCAGCTACTTTAGCCCTGCTGGGCACCATTGGGAAGTTCAAATTGCTTGAAATGTCACTAATTATATTTAATTTTGTAATGAATTCCAAGCAAAATGCACAGGGCATTTCTCTCCCTATGCTACCAGTCAATGGTCTGCCCATGCCTGGCTGCAGGGTCTGGTGGTGTAGTCGGAAGTTCGGGAAAAGCATCAAAGGCCTGGATGCTGTGTGACTCGGGCAAGCTGTCCACCTGCCTGTGGCCCTGAGGGGCCTGGCAGGAATTATCTCAAAGCTCCCGACAACCCTGCAGGGCAATGGTGTGTGCCTATCCCACTGCCTCTCTGTCTGGTGGGTGACTTCCCTGTCTTGACCTTGACTTTGACCCTCTTCTTGTCTCACACTCTCCAAAAGCATTGTGTCACCCCTACTGATCTCAGTTTTGGATTTATTCAGCCCTACCTTAAATTCTTTCTTTAATTCTTCTTCTTCTTCTTTTTTTTTTTTTTTCTTTAAGACAAGTCTCGCTCTGTCACCCAGGCTGGAGTGCAGTGGTGCGATCTCAGCTCACGGCAACCTCTGCCTCCCGGGTTCAAGTGGTTCTCCTGCCTCAGCCTCCCGAGTAGCTGGGATTACAGGTGTGTGCCACCACGCCCAGCTAATTTTTAGTAGAGATGGGATTTCACCACATTGGCCAGACTGGTCTTGAACTCCTGGCCTCAGGTGATCCACCTGCCTTAGCCTCCCAAAGTGCTGGGATTATAGGGATGAGGAACTGCGCCCAGCCCTTTCTTTAATTCTTAAAACAGCCCATGATTAGGAGTCTACAGCATGCTGGTCCAAAGGCACCCACCCCCTTTTCCCACTGACCCCTTTGTCTCCCCGACCCTGCTCCAGCAGAAAGCCCCACCCTCGGCTTAGGGAGCGCCATGACGACTGAAATTGGTTGGTGGAAGCTGACTTTCCTCCGGAAAAAGAAATCCACTCCCAAGGTGCTGTATGAGATCCCTGACACCTATGCCCAAACAGAGGGAGGCGCAGAACCCCCAAGGCCTGATGCTGGAGGCCCCAACAGCGACTTTAACACCCGCCTGGAGAAGATCGTGGACAAGAGTACAAAGGGCAAGCACGTCAAGGTCTCCAACTCGGGACGCTTCAAGGAGAAGAAGAAAGTGAGAGCCACGCTGGCAGAGAACCCTAACCTTTTTGATGATCACGAGGAAGGACGGTCATCAAAGTGAAGGGCTGAGGAGGGTGCTAACACCTCCTGGCTCCCTGCCATCAGCCAGATCTGAGACAGGACTTTGCCACGCTGGCCTCTTTGGCCATAGCTGAAGCCGTGGGGGTAGTTGATACCTGCTGGCAGGAAATGGCTGGTTTTTAGGTTTGTATTTATGTGCCTCCACTTTTGTAAGGCCTGGGAGATCCCAGGGTCCTCCCACCCTCCCCCCGACCACATATAAAGGCACTCTAGTTCAAGGGTGAAAACTCTCACCCAAGAGGAACAGCCCTCCTTGAAGCAATGGCAGGGCCAGCAGAGAGGTGGGCATGGCAGAGAATGGAGTGAGCCAGACAGACTTCACCTCATCACTGGACACAGGGTCAAGGTCAAGTTTGAACTGCTCCTCCCTTTACGTTCTCTACCCGTGACTACTCCCTGGACCAATCCTGAGGAGGGCACATTTTCCAGAAGCCACGTGATAGGGGCTGGTTTCTGTGGAGCCAGAGGCAGAGACACTGAACTTGAGCTCACCTCCTAACACCGGCAGTAAACTTCCTGGAACTTTGCCCTCAAGTGTGGAGGGGGCAGAGGACACTGGCACTCTGTTAGGGTGCTGTAGAAGACTAGATTGATGGTAGTTTGACCTTTTGGCTCCTGTTTTGGCCATGACTTGTGCAGGTGGCAAGTCACACACCCTCGAAGGGAAGCTACACGGGCCAAATTGGGGGAGTGGATGGGGAATTGTCTCCTCTCCCTCCCCTACTGTAATAGTATTTAAGACGTATCAGCTCCAGAGATGAGTCCTGGAGCCTTGAATTTTGTTCAACAAACTAATTGTAGGTTTCTCTCTTTGTAATAACAATGCTGGAAAAGCAGAGAACCTCTTTTATGCTCATGTCTTGCATTTATTGAGATGACTGTTTCTCATGCCTTTATCTTCCTTCATGTAAGTAAAGTGGACCTTTGTGCTCAAACTGTTCCTTTCAAGCTTTAGGAAGGGTTGCCAGGTGTGACAATATAGGAACTGGGTCACTAATTTTTACCATCAAACTAGCCTTAGTATGGGGATGGGGGAGCAGAAGGAGCTAGTTACACGTCAGTGGTCGGTTCTCTCTGGTTAACAGAGAGGCCATCAGGTGCTCTAAGAGAGTAGGGCAGACCTTTGGTGATTGACCCCAAAGAGTCAGTGGTTTGGTTTGGGATTAAGATTCAAACTCTGGCTCTACCCCTTAGTAGCTGGGTGACCTTGGGAACATCTGCTTGTACTCTGAGCCTGGGTTCCCTCTTCTGTAAAAGGGGGCTGAAATAATACCGATCACATAGGGACTGTCAGTATTAAGTGGCCTATGAGAGGCCCCATAGTAAGCACTCAGTTTAATACTGGCTTCCTTCCCCCTTACTTTATAAGGAACTCCACCATACCCTACAGCTTTGGTTTAAGAAAAAGGAGAAGGTGGGTATGGTGGCTCAGGCCTGTAATCCTAGCACTTTGGGAGGCTGAGGTGGGAGGATTGCTTAAGCCCAGGAGTTTGGACTAGCCTAGGCAACATAGTGAGACCCCATGTCTAAAAAAAGAAACCAACCAACAAACAAAAAGGAGCTGACTGTGCTGGCACATGCCTGTAGTCCTATCTACCTGGAGGGCTGAGGTGGGAGGATTGCTTGAGTCCAGGAGTTCAAGACTACAGTGAGCTATGATTGTAGCACTGCGCTACAACCTGGGTGACAGAACTAGATCTTATCTCCAGAAAAAAAAAATGTTGGCCGGGCGCGGTGGCTCAAGCCTGTAATCCCAGCACTTTGGGAGGCCGAGACGGGCGGATCACGAGGTCAGGAGATCGAGACCATCCTGGCTAACACGGTGAAACCCCGTCTCTACTAAAAAAAAGTACAAAAAACTAGCCAGGCGAGGTGGCGAGCGCCTGTAGTCCCAGCTACTCGGGAGGCTGAGGCAGGAGAATGGCGTAAACCCAGGAGGCGGAGCTTGCAGTGAGCAGAGATCCGGCCACCACACTCCAGCCTGGGTGACAGAGCGAGACTCCGTCTCAAAAAAAAAAAAAAAAAAAATGTCTTTTAATAAATAAGAAAGAGAGGCCGGGTGCGGTGGCTCATGCCTGTAATCCAGCACTTTGGGAGGCTGAGGTGGGTGGATCACCTGAGGTTGGGAGTTCAAGACCAGCCTGGCCAACATGGAGAAACCCCATCTCTACTAAAAATACTCTACTAAAAATACAAAATTAGCCGAGCGTAGTGGTGCATGCCTGTAATCCCAGCTACTTGGGAGGCTGAGGCAGGAGAATCGCTTGAACCTGGGAGGCTGAGGTTGCGGTGAGCCGAGATCGCACCATTTGCACTCCAGCCTGGGCAACAAGAGTGAAACTCCATCTCAAAAATAAATAAATATGCCAGGCACGGTGGCTCATGCCTGTAATCCCAGTACTTTGGGAGGCCGAGGTGGGTGGATCACGAGCTCAGGAGATGAAGACTATCCTGGCTAACACAGTGAAACCCCGTCTCTACAAAAATACAAAAAAATTAGCCAGGCGTGGTGGCGGGCACCTGTAGTCCCAGCTACTTGGGAAGGCTGAGGCAGGAGAATGGTGTGAACCTGGGAGGTGGAGCTTGCAGTGAGCCGAGATTGCGTCACTGCACTCCTGCCTGGACGACAGAGTGAGACTCTATCTCAAAAAATAAATAAATAAAAATAAATAAATAAGAAAGAAGAGAAAGCTGTCATCTTATGAGGTTAGGTCCAGCTCTTTCTGAAGCCATAAGAGCTGGGAATTAAAAAAACGTTGGCCAAATCTCTGGAGCTCGTGGTAGAAACACAGGGAGAGACCAAGGTGGCCACTAAACAATGTGGTCCTGTAGCTTCCAGGTCAGCTCCTGGCAGGCTGCTGGGCCACCCCACCCCAGGAGCTGTTGCTCAGGGAATTTATTACTGAAACAAACAGACCTATACAAGGGAGCCTTGTTAGGTGCCTCACCCAGGCCAGGGGGACCTCAAATGATGAGTAAGGGAGACCAGGAGCTGGAGGGATGGAAGGCAGGCTCAGGGGTGCTGCCTTTCCCAAGGCCTCTTTCCACTACCCCTTCCCACTACACAGAACTTCCTAGGGTCTCACCAACTACTCAATCCATGAGACCTCCACAGAGGAGCTCAGACTTTCCCCACACCGCAGCCCTGCGGTTAATAGCTAACATTTAGAGGGTGCTTACGGCAGGCGGCCCCTAGAACAAGTTCTTCCTAAGCTTGTTCATTTAATCCTATCATCGCCTGAGACAGATACTGTCATTATCCCCATTTTTCAGACAAGTTGGCTGAGGCTTAGAGGTTAAATCACTCACTCCGGGGGCCAGGCACTGGCAGTGGTACAGCTGGCACTGAAGCCAGAGCTGGCTTGTACATGTGACCGCTGTCCCACACAGCCACCTTCCACTCTTGATTCTCATCTGCTACGAGAACAGGAAACTGAAGCTCGGAACAAAGAAAAGCACAGACATCTTCTGCGGAAGGGGAATTTGGGAGGGAAGGGAGCAACCTCTGGGTCTTAGGATCCTGGGAGGTGAGTATCATTCGAGGGAACTGGACAAACTCTGGAAGCAGTTGGATAAAGCCAACCAGTTTTGAAGCTGAGTGTCCCTTAAGACCCTAGACTACAGGCATCTCCCACATCCGCCCATTCTCGGTTTCCCTGAGGTGGGAGATAAGGATGGGCCCTGGGCCAGCAACCTAAGGCTCTAGATAATACTGGCACTGTAATGCCAGCTCCTCCAGTATCACCATTACCCCTCTGGGTTAGAGTATCCACAGTCCCTCTGCCCCTTGCATGCTGACCCCGGCTCCATCTTCTAGGTAAAGTCTACCTATGTTTCTAAGCTGGGGTACCAGATAGATATGGGGTAGGTACTAGAAGCCAAAGGGAGATCTGGCTGCCCAGGGAAGCAGAGTGAGGCAGCTGCAAGTTTTCATGAGAACAGGGGAGGAGGAGGAACCGAGAGCGCAAATATGTGCGGGAACCGGGAGAGGCTATGGGTTATCGACCACAGTTTCACTGGGACGCGACCCAAGCGGATGAAGAGGGAGGCAGGGGAGGCCGACTAAAAGTGGCTTTCACCGCCCGGAAGGGGCCGACACTGGGAGGAGGGCTCCCCCTGCTGGACGTACTGCCTACATGGTGGGGAGAAGTGAGAGGGCAGGAAAGTCGCTTAAATTTCCCAAGTCCCCGCCTTGGGGGTTGAGAGAGACCAGGCCGGGTTGAACATCAATAAAATGCACGGCTGACAGGCTTTTATTACAGACTGGGGGCAGTAACGGCTGGACAGAGAACAGAAAAGGAACATCTGAGGCCAGGCTCAAAGCTGGGGGGGATACACAACCTCCAATAATACAAGGTGGGTGCAGCACTTCTAGACACACACACAGACACATATACACGTACTCATAAATGGCACAGCCTACGGTACAAGAAAAAGGGCAAGGTAGGTAAGGGCACCCGACACCCTCCTGCCTGCAGAGGGCCACAGGGTTAATGTGCCTTCCTGCACGCAGGCTTAAGGGGGATAAACAAGGAGAGGGCTGCCGTTGGAGGAGCCCTGCGGATAACAGTGACTGATAACAGGTCCATGCAGGGGAAGGAAGCACAGCTCACAGAGTGGCAAGCTCAATGCCAGCCAGTGCAAGAAACAGTCAGTTCTCTGATCCTGGCTTAGTCACGGCAAATATTTACCCGGCTTGGCTCCTCTCCATAGCCAGCAGGTTGCTTGCTCATCCAGTCTGTCCCTGGTAAGCGGGCTTGTGCTCAACGAGAACAAACACAGTGACTCAGCTGAGGGTCACTAAAGGACCACAGACTGTGAGGGTGGGAGGTCATGGTTTAGAGGTTGAGTCTAGTGCAGCTGGTCACCTGGGATCTAGTGAAAATGCAGGGTCAGATTCAGTGGGTCTGGAGTCTGAATCTCTAAGGGGCTGCCAAGTGATGCAGATGCTCCTGGCTTGTGGACCACACTGTGTATAGCAAAGCTGTAGACCAGGAGGTCTCAACCTTGGCTGCACAGAATTCTCTGGGGAGCTTTTAAATTTCCCAGTGCCCAGGCTGCACTCATATCTTGGCAGAGACAGAGTTTTGCCATGCTGGCCAGGCTGGTTCAATCATCTCTGAGGGTGGGACCCAGGCATCAGGGTTTTTAAAGCTCCCCAGGTAATTCCAGTGTGGGTGAAAAGCCAATGATCTAGGAATAATCAGCAGAGATGGGAAGTAAGGAAAGCAGATATGTGAATAGTCTGAAAAACATAATATCTATAATCATTTAATTTTTCTTTTTGGAAAATGTATGTATATATACACACAATTTCCATAAACAAACATAGATAGTAAAGCTGATTAAAATCTTCCTGTCCGATTGGTACTAGCACATGAAGCTCTTCTACAAAATCCCTGACTGACTGGGAATAAAATTTCCTAGTGACAGCCCACTCCTTCTTAGGCAGGTCTGACTGTTTGAAGTCTCTCCCACTATTGAGATGAAACCTGCTTCCCTGTAACTTCCCTGTAACTCTACAGGTTCCTTGGAGCCACAGAGAAGGCAGCAATCAGTAGGGGAAGTGCTATAAAAATATACTATCCTGGCTGGGCACGGTGGCTCATGTTTGTAATCCCAGCACTTTGGGAGGCTGAGGTGGGTGAATCATAAGGTCAAGAGATGGAGACCATCCTGGCCAACATGGTGAAACCCCGTCTCTACTAAAAATACAAAAATTAGCTGGGTGTGGTGGGTGCCTGTAGTCCCAGCTACTCAGGAGGCTGAGGCAGGAGAATCGCTTGAACCCGGGAGGCAGAGGTTGCAGTGAGCCAAGATCACGCCACTGCACTCCAGCCTGGGCGACAGAGTGAGGCTCCATCTAAAAAAAAAAAAAATCCTATCCATAAATGAGTTAAGTTGTAACCAACAGAAATATATTCTAGCTAGATTAAGTTTAAAAAAAAAGAGAGAGAGAGAGAGACTTTACAGATAGTGGGGTGTTTCAAGGCAGGGGGAGGAACTGCACGGCCCAGACCTGGGAGGGAGGGATCCTGGGAGTTGCAATAGCAGCAGGCAGAGGCTGTTGGTTCCTGTTGTTTCCTGGCTGCCATGAATGACTTGGCTTCAATGACTCCCAAGGTTCTGGATCCCTCCAGTTCAAATTTCAAATTACTGACAAAACAATCTGATTGGCCACGTTGGCTCAGGTGAATATGCTGGCACTAAGCTTTGGCCAGTATGACTCACGTGGTAACAGACAGGGCTGCTGGGGCCCTCCCTGTCACCAGAAACGGAGTCACACCGGTTGCTACCCCTAGAGGGAGCTATCCTAATCAATCATAGGCAGGGTCAAAAAAATAATTATGGAATGATTTTCCATTTGTGATTCTCTACACCACCATTACACTACACTTGACCAGCTAACTGAAAACCAACTGAGTACAAAGAACTTAGAGCATGAGCTCTGAAGAGTCCTGAATATAAAGGGTAGGGAGGGAAATGGGTTGAGCTTACAAAGAAGGGCCTGAGTCCCAATCCCACACCCTCTCTTGACACCCAGCCCTAGCTGCACTCTGGCCCGGCAGGTCCCAGAGTTAAGGTGCAAGTCTCTCATAGAGCCAGTCTTCCTCCCCGCGGTGGGTCATGGGCCCCAAAGGGGAATCTCCTGTGGGCAGGCCCCGCCGAAAGACTATCCGGTCATGCAGGCGGTTGGTTTGACCTTGCCAGAACTCCATCACCTGAGGGTACAGGACATAGCCACCCCTATAAGGAGAAGCAGAGGTTTCAGTGCTCTGTGGATTTTCCTAGCCAGGTCACTCTCCCACCCTCACCCCTCATCCCAGGGCCTCTTGAAGGAAGTTGCTGGGATGCATCTGATGAGGGTGGCCAGGGAGGAGGAGATCTGTGATTCCCCAGGCAGGTGGCTTCAAGTAAACACAGGGGCCTGGTGTCCCTTTCTAGATGACTACCAGATGTCACTCACCAGGATTTTGGCTTGGGCACCTCTTGATCCTCGTAGAGCTGTTCCAGTTCCTCATTTTTCTTTCTCAGATACTGTCCAGGGGAAGGAGTTAGAAGAAGGGCCAGGCCCAGTCAATGAGTCATTAACAAGGACTTCCTGGGGATATGTGCTGGGGACACTGGTGAGCAGAGCAGACTGGCCTCTGCCTTCCAGGAGCACACAGTCAACGGGATGGCCAGATGGACAGAGGAGGCCTATTTTCCCTCTCCCTACCCTTATTTCCCTTCTCACTGCCCTTTTCACTGTTTTCACTGGGCTGGAGAGAGGAACCTGGCATCTCCTGGGGACAGCTTCTGGGGATAAGCCAAAGCCTCCGCCACCTGGAGGACTACAGTGGAGCCCCACTCACCTCCCGATCAGGGATCACAGAACTCTGGTGGCTGACCACAGCCCCAATTTGGCTGCTCTTGGGGCGGGAGTGGAAGTAGCACTCAGCCTCCTCCTCCGGCAGCTTCTTCACAGGGCCTTCCACACGCACCTGCTCAAGGATGGCTCTGGGTGAATGGCGTTCAATGCCACCTGCCCTCCCTACCAGCACAGGCCCTATTCCTCTCTGTTCTATCGGCTGTCCCACCACTCTTGGCTCCAGCTAACTGAGGGCTATTATAGAGGCAGACTGCCCAGCTGGGATGTTTGCCCAGTCTGGGGACCTTCACTAGACTTAGCCATAAACTCAGGCCCTGCCAACCCAGCCCATCCCAGGCTGTCCTGGGAAAATTCACTCACCTGACGGTTAAGTGGCTCCCAGTAGAAGACAAGGGAAGCAAAGGGATTCGAGTCCTAGAAGTAAAAGAGAATCCACAGCCAGCCATCAGGATAGGGAGAGGAGGCCTCCGGCATGCAGGGAAAAGGCAGGAGAGCTGTAGTGTGCAGGCCCACAGCAGATGCATCCACTGTATGAGCTCATTTAAACCCTCAAAAGTAGGCCTATTGTCACAGATACGGAGACAGGCTAAGTCACATGCCCAAGTTCCTGCAGTAAGTGGTGGAGCTAAGTTTAAGCCAGTCAGACTCCAAAGTGAGACTGGGTGATTTCTTTCACCCACAGATTTGCGAGTCTGGAGAAATGCATGTTTGGCTGGGATGGACTCGGGGAGGTTTACTCACTTTGGATTCATTCATTGAATGCACACGAAAGTGCTTACTCTGGGTCTGACAACAGGAGACATGTGGGGGATACAGCAGAGATAAAACACAGCATCCTCTACTCCTGCAGAGCTTACTGTTCAGCAGAGGAGACAAATATCAGTTACATAATCACCCAAATAAAAGCTTAGTTACAAACTGAAGAAAATGATAAAAAGGAAAGTTGCAAGTTATAATGGCAGCAAACAACATGAGGGGCTGAGTCTGAGTCAGAGTCAAGGAAGGCCTTCCTGAGGAGGTAACATGTGGGCTGAGATCTGAAGGAACAGGTGATGGCTGATGGGGTGAGGTTGGTTAGAAAGTGCATTCATTCATTTATGGCAAAGAGCACAGCAAGTGCCAAGGCCTCATGGCAGGAGGGCACCTGCAGAGAGAGAACAAGTAGACTGAGGGGTGGGGTGGCATGAGAAGGTGACTGAGGAGGAAAGGGCCAAATCCCACAGGCCCTGGGAAAGATTACCAGCTCTTTTCACACACCAGCTCTTTTCCTTTTCGACTCTCGAAGTTAGTGAAGAAGCGGAAGCCATCTTTCCCAAAGCCCTTCAGTAGCAACATGCGAGCAGAGGGTTTTCCATCTCTAGGAGCAAACAGCAGAGCACTGTGGTCAGAGCCTGCTTCAATGTTCTGGCTACAGTCCCTCTCCCCAAAAGATGTCTCAGCACCCCCTCCAGCTGTACCTCCTTTACTGGGCTGTTAGGCTGGGGCCCCCTCCCATGTGCTCCTGGGGGTTTGTCCTAGAGGTATGACACCACAGCCTAGGGCCCTGTTATGGACTGAATAGTGTCACCCAAAACCCCTGTGTTAAAGCCTTAAACCTCAATGTGACTGTATTTGGAGACAGGGACCTTATGGAGGTAATTAAGGTTAAATAATAAGGTCATAGGGGTGGGGCCCTAATCCAATAGGACTGGTGTCACTGTAAGAGAAGAGGCACTTTAGAACCACCTCCCTTGCCCCCCACAACACACACAGGAAAGGCAGTATGAGGACATGGCAAAAAGCAGCTGTCTGCAAACCCCAAGCAGAGGCCTTACCAGAAACCACCCCTGATGGCACCTTGATCTTGGACTTCTAGCCACCAGAACTATAAGGAAATAAACTCCCGTGGTTTAAGCTATCCAGTCTACAGTATTTTGTTAAGACATCCCTAGCAAACTCATAAGACCCTAAGGGCAGGGACTAACAATAATGCAATCATCCAATGCTTCGGCATCACAGTGGTGCTACGAGATCAGCTCCTCTGCTCAGAGCTCTGGGAAATATCCACTCGCACAGTACAAGAGCGCTGGCTTCAAGGCCTTACACTTTAGCAAGGAGAATTGAATAATAGGCTAATACAAGTGATGTCTCAAAGGGCATATGATTGTCAAAGGAATGATACAGTCAAGTACTGTGCTAGATTTCGAGAGAGAGACAGAGCTTCACCAGAAGTAGCTCCTGAATGACAGACGAGGCTTGGGTAGATGGGGAGATGAGGGAGGCAAGGGGTTGCTTGTGGATATATCAAGGGCAGAGATGACCAAGCTACTGCATTTTTTTTTTTTTTTTTTGAGATGGAGTCTCACGCTCTGTCCCCCAGGCTGCAGCGCAGTGGCACGATCTTGGCTCACTGCAATCTCCACCTCCTGGGTTCACACCATTCTTCTGCCTCAGCCTCCCGAGTAGCTGGGACTACCCACCCAGCTAATTTTTTGTATTTTCAGTAGAGACGGGGTTTCACTGTGTTAGCCAGGATGGTCTCGATCTCCTGACCTCATGATCCACCCGCCTGGGCCTCCGAAAGTGCTGGGATTACAGGCGTGAGCCACCGCGCCCAGTCTAAGGCATTGCATTTTTATCACTGAAATATAATTTTGTGTTCTGGTCTTTGGTTTATAGGTAAGGACACAGGCCCAGACAGGACAAGCATCTCATCTAAAGTCACACAGCACATTAATAACAGAGCTGGAACCATAAAGTTAGCATCCAGAGTTGAGAGCTTCATAAGCTTCCTAGTTCATATGTATCCACCCAAAGAGGGGCCCACGGCCATGCCCACCTGGTACAGGTAGCCAGACACATGGCATTTGCTTCCCCTATGTCAGGACACTGAACAGCCTCCTCAAACCAGGCAGCAAACTGTTTCAGTGGGTCAAGGGAGGTCAGATGAGTCTCCTCAAATGCCTAGGAAGGGAGATTTATTCCATTTAATAAACATATATAGTGCTTACTAGGTACCTGGCACTGTTCTAATCATTTTTCAAATATCAACTCATTTAGTCCTCATGACAGTGACCTTAAAATAAAAAACAGTATGCAGTAAGAAGAATCTGTGCCCCATTTTACAGGTGAGGAAACAGGCATAAAAAGGTCAGACAACTTGCTGTCCCACAGCTAGTGATGGATAAATCAGGGTTTTCATGTCATGGGTAATCAAAACTGTCTGTGCATCAGAATCACCTGGGGAGCATAAAAAAAACTTTCTGGGCTCCACCCCCATAATTTCTCATTCAGCAGGTCTGAGGCTTAATCAAAAACTACATTTTTATTTACTTATATGCTCGACTAATTTTATTTTTTTGTAGAGACAGGGTCTCACTATGTTGCCCAGGCTGGAAAAACTGCATTTTAAACAAGCATTTCTAGAAATGACCACATGCAACCAGATTTGGCAACCAGGGCCCTGGACCCCAACTCCTAAAAGGTTCTCTTGGTTCCCCTCCTGAGAAGGGAAAAGGAAAAGAACTTCCCAGTGGTCAGCAGAAAGTACTGAAGGCAGTAAGCTAAGAGCTTTCTCCTCTCCTCCTACCTGAGGTTTGGGTGACCCCCAAACCTCCTTGCCCCAGGGGGTGGCCCCAGAAGCCCTGAGAGGCTGGTTCCTCCTACTCCCCTCCCCCTAGTAGATGACTCCGAGGACCACTCTTCCCCCGCCCTTGAGGGAGGCCCAGCACTGTCCTGACATCCATCACATGAAACCCTGATTCATCCATCACTAGCTGTGGACCTGAGCAAGTTATCTGACCTTGCTACCTGTCGAGTAAGCAGGGTTCTAAGCACTTTACAAACATTTAAGACCATAACATCCCCGTAAGGCAGGTACTATCACTTCCCAGATGAGGAAACTGAGGCCCAGAGACACTAAGGATTCCAGCCCAGGCAGGCTCCAAAGTTCGAGCTCTCACCCATTACGAAAGGCTGCCTTTTGAACCCATTTCATTTGCATTTTCCCGGAACTCCTCCCCCGGTGGGATGTCTTTGAAGCCCCCTTTTCCCACTGGGGGTGATCCCCAAACCTCCTTGCCCCACCGGGTGGCCCCAGAAGCCCGGAGGGGCTCCTCCTACTCCCCGCCCCGCTGTAGATGACTCCGGGGACCCCTTTTCCCCCGCCCCTGCAGGAGGCCTGGCCCTGGCGGCGGCACCTCTCGGTCCCCGCGGTAACTCTTGCGCATGGGTCCCAGGTCCATGGCAGCACTGCGACCACGCAGGTGACGGAGGTAGCCTGGCCACTCGGCAGGTCGCCCGAACGTCGCTGTGACGCCCCGCAGCCGGCACGTCATGGGGGCCGCCGGCCACGTGACCCGGCTGTGGCCCGGCGCTGGGTTCCTTTGAGTTCGGAACCAATTTCTCACCCTGGACTTCTACCCCGGGGAAGGAAGGATTTGCTAGTCGTCCAACCAAGCTAACAGGTCCTAAATCCTCGGAGCCAATGAGCTTCCAGGATCGGAGGAGGGAGACAGACATGGAGAGGTCATTGGTTGGAGCTTTTCGGTAGCAAGGCCAATTAGAGCGAGAACAGAGAAACCCAGCGACCAATGGGTAGCGCCTTTGGGGGCGGGAGCAGAGAGACAAGGAAATGCTGTCACCGCCGTTAACACGCACGTGGAGGTTGGTTAAAGGTATAGGAGGATCTCCTGCAGCTCAGGCGGGGTGGAGGATGTGTCCCGGGGGCTTGAGAGGAGTAGTCAGTATTAAGTGGCTGGCCCATAGTAGGTGCCTGTAGGCGAGCTTAGGGCAGGAAGTACCCCTTGGGAAGGGAGACTAGTGGAATGGGAAAAGAAAAATGGAAAATGGAATTAGGGGCCAGACTCTGAAGCAAGGTGATGGGGACACATAGAGAAAAGGGTAATCTGGTTGTGGGGAGGAATTAGGGCATGAGAGTGGGAGAGGTTGAAATGACTTGTGGACCATGCCCCGAGTGGGGAGGTGCAGTGGGGTTAGGAAGAGACGGTGAGGTGAGAAGGAAGATGGCTTTGGGAAGGTCCCAAAGGAAATTTGGTCCCAAAGGAAATTTGGTACCAAGGTATCCCAGACCAGAGTGGTTTTCCTCTTCTAGTTTTGTTTTTGTTTTGTTTTGTTTTGTTTGAGACGGAGACTAGCTCTGTCACTCAGTTTGGAGTGCAGTGGCGCGATCTCGGCTCACTGCAACTTCCACCTCCCGGGTTCAAGCAATTCTCTGCCTCAGCCTCCCGGGTAGCTGGGATTACAGGCGCCTGCCACCACGCCTGGCTAATTTTTGTATTTTTAGTAGAGACGGGGTTTCACCATGTTGGCCAGGCTAGTCTTAAACTCCTGATCTCAGGTGATCCACCCGCCTCGGCCTCCCAAAGTGCTGGGATTATAGGCGTGAGCCACCGCGCCCGCCACCTCTTCTAGTTTTAAACCCCCTCCCTCCAACCTCATTTATTTAAGCAAGGGTCAGAGTACTTTGCTCCCTTTGCTCATGGTTTCCCCTGCAACGGTGCATTGGAGTTCATAGGAGCCAGTGACCTGGTAGATGGCGAGGCTGCCAATGTCCCATCTCTCCAGGGCCTCCCCCATCTTTGTCAAGCTTTCCTTTTTCCACATTTTGCCCTTGCTAGGTAGTAGGAGTCTAGCCCCTAGGTCAATGCAAGTAATTGCCAAGTGAGAGTACACGGAGCAGGTGGCTGTGAATAGCCCTTCCAGGCTGTGGATGCAAGGCTGAAAAATGGGAAACCCACTCGTGCCCAGTCCAATTCTGACCTGGCTGGGGCAGCCTTGGGTCGAGACCTTTCTGTAGCCCTGCTTTCCACCAGCATCAGGAAGGGGAACTGCAAGAGCCATCTAGGCAGGCACCCAGGACTGTGCCAGGTAAGGGGAACTTCCTGGCCTGGCCAGGTGTCTGCATTACAGCTGAGCTTCATGAAGCCCTACATTAGATACCTGTCATCCTTTATGTGTACATAGCTTGAGCCAGATAGAATCTGGAAGACAATTTTGCTGCAAAATAATAATACATGTCTCAAAACTTAATGATATTGGTCTATGGATTCTCCGCTGGTTGAATTTTTTTGTGCTGCCGTCATTTTGCTCCATCAGCATAATTGAGAGGAAGCTGACTAGATTTACTTTCCTGTTGAAGTTATCTTTCTTTCTTTTTTTTTTTTTTTTTGAGACAGAGTCTTGCTGTGTCACCCACGCTGGAGTGCAGTGGTGTGATCTTGGCTCACTGCAAGCTCTGTCTCCCAGGTTCAGGCCATTCTCCTGCCTCAGCCTCCCGAGTAGCTAGGACTACAGGCACCTGCCACCACGCCCGGCTAATTTTTGTATTTTTAGTAGAGACGCGGTTTCACCATGTTAGCCAGGATGGTCTCAATCTCCTGACCTCGTGATCCACCCGCCTCAGCCTCCCAAAGTGCTGGGATTACAAGCGTGAGCCACCACAGCCAGATGAAGTTGTCTTTCTTTTTTTTTTTTTTTTTTGAGGCAGAGTCTCGCTCTGTCGCCCAGACTGGAGTGCAGTGGCCGGATCTCAGCTCATTGCAAGCTCCGCCTCCCGGGTTCACACCATTCTCCTGCCTCAGCCTCCCTAGTAGCTGGGACTACTACAGGCGCCTGCCACCTCGCCCAGCTAGTTTTTTGTATTTTTTAGTAGAAACGGGGTTTCACCGTGTTAGCCAGGATGGTCTCGATTTCCTGACCTTGTGATCCTCCCGTCTTGGCCTCCCAAAGTGCTGGGATTACAGGCTTGAGCCACCGCGCCCGGCCGAAGTTGTCTTTCTATACAAGAACATTGCTATACTCCCGCTCTCTTAAGCCCCTGCAGTTAAACCTGTGTAAGCAGAGTAATGAGTGCACTTCAACTCAGGATGGGTTTTGTTCATGGGTTTTTTTTGTTGTTGCTGTTTGTTTGTTTGTTTTTTGAGACAAGAGTCTCCCTGTGTCACTCAGGCTGGAGTGCAGTGGTGTGATCTCGGCTCATTGCAACCTCTGCCTCCCGGGTTCAAGCCATTCTCCTGCCTCAATCTCCCAAGTAGCTGGGATTACAGGCGTGTGCCACCACACCTGGCTAATTTTTTGTAATTTTAGTAGTACAGATGGGGTTTTGCCATGTTGGCCAGGCTGGTGTGGAACTCCTGACCTCAAGTGATCCACCCACCTTGTCCTCCCAAAGTGCTGGGATTACAGATGTGAGCCACCGTGCCCGGCCATGGGGTTTTTCTTCACACTCTTTTAGTACTCCTGGGCTGCCGCTACCCTGGACCTGGATTTTAGGACACCAAGACTAAGCTCATCCATGTACTTAAAAGCCAACAGCTCATTGTAGTGGAGGTAGATGTATATTTATGTATTAATTCAGTAGACATTTGCTAAAGACTTCCTTTGGACCGTGCACTGAACCAAGTCTGAGAATATTAAGATGAAGATGACAACCTGGGCTTGTAGTCTATAGGGGGAGGCAGATTTGTGAGCTTAAGAGTTGTTGCGGATTTTTTTTTTTTTTTTTTTAGACAGAGTCTCACCCTGTCACCCAGGCTGGAGTGCAGTGCCACGATCTTGGCTTACTGCAACCTCTGCCTCCTGGGTTCAAGCGATTCTCCTGCCTCAGCCTCCCGAGATATTTTAACAGGTGTTTCTGTACAGTAAAGAGGAGCAAAAAGAAGAGGATCAAACAGTCAGGAAAGGCTTTGTAAAGGGAGTGGACATTTGATGTCTTAATAAGTAAGTTTTTGCTAGATGGGACAGTGGAACAGGCGTCCCAGCAAGAGGGAACATTGTGAGTAAAGGCATGGTGCACTCGGGGGAACCTGGAGACATGTAATACTGCTGGAGCAAAGGTGATGAGTAAACAAGCTGAACAAGCAGGCAGGGCTACGTGCTCCTTGCTGAAGTCATGCAGGTGCTGAGGGCCAGGCTTTTAGACACAATGATTCTGATATTTTATCCTGTAATATTTTTTAGCCTATGAACCAGTGTCTAGTTCCTGCTTTTTAAAGACCAGATGGGGAGAAAAAAAGTGCTAGATTCTGACATCGTCTCCTTCCCCTGGCCATTAGCAAAGAAGTGTGCAGTTGATTGCTTTTTTGTATTTTTCCCTTTGTCTTAAAGATAATAAGTAGACTTGTGTTACGCTTTTCTACTTAGTTGGATTTGGTTTCTGGATCACAAAGCAGCCCCGCAGTGCACAACCAGAAGGGAAACAAGCCTACTAGCTGTTTTTGCTACTGATGCAACCACCAGCAGGGACTTTCTGAGTGGGAGAAAGGAATTATTTTACTGTTCCAGTCTTCTCTTGAGAAAGTCTTAAATGAATAGAAAATACATAGCAACATTCTTATTGTACAGAGAGGCACACTGGTTTCTCAGGATGAAACAAAAAAGTCTGCATGGCCGGGTGTGGTGGCTCATGCCTGTAACCCCAGCACTTTGGGAGGCCGAGGTAGGTGGATCACTTGAGGTCAGGAGTTTGAGACCAGCCTGGCCAACATGGTGAAACCCTGTCTGCACTAAAAATACAAAAATTAGCCAGGCGTGGTGGCGGGCACCTGTAATCTCAGCTACCCAGGAGGCTGAGGCACAAGGATGGCTTGAACCCGGGAGGCAGAGGTTGCAGTGAGCTGAGATCGTGCCACTGCACTCCAGCATGGTCAACAGAGCAAGACTCAGTCTCAAAAGAAAAAAAAACCTGCATGTGGGTTTGGGGACTGTGCCTTGCCTGTTTTCTTCTAATGCTTTTCCTTTTTTTTGAGATGGAGTATCACTCTGTTGCCCAGGCTGGAGTGCAGTGGTGCAATCTGGGCTCACTGCAACCTCCGCCTCCCGGGTTCAAGCAATTCTCCTTTCTCAGCCTCCTGAGTAGCTGGGATTACAGGCGGCCGCCACCACGCCTGGCTAATTTTTTGCATTTTTAGTAGAGACAGGGTTTCACCATGTTGGCCAGGCTGGTTTCGAACTCCTGGCCTCAAGTGATCCACCCTCCTTGGCCTCCCAAAGTGCTGGGATTATAGGCGTGAGCCACCATGCCCAGCCATGTTTACTTACTTTTTTTTTTTTTTTTTTTTTTTTCTGAGATGGAGTCTCCCTCTGTCGCCCAGGCTGGAGTGCAGTGGCTGGATCTCAGCTCACTGCAAGCTCGCGCCTCACCGGGTTTACGCCATTCTCCTGCCTCAGCCTCCCGAGTAGCTGGGACTACAGGCGCCCGCCACCTCACCTGGCTAGTTTTTTGTATTTTTTTTAGTAAAGACGGGGTTTCACCGTGTTAGCCAGGATGGTCTCGATCTCCTCACCTCGTGATCCACCTGTCTCGGCCTCCCAAAGTCCTGGGATTACAGGCTTGAGCCACCGCACCTGGCCAATGTTTACTTTCTTAAACCACCCTTTTTTCTAATTATCTAACTAACTTATGTATTTCAGTTTTACTTTAGTGATTGGATTTGTGTTTTGGAACCTGGCTCTGGTGACCAAGTGGGTGATGAGCAAGGGAGGGTCAGGCTGGTGGCAGGGATAGGTTGGGAGAAGCTGCGGTGTTGTCCAAGTGGAAGGTGGGGGCAGGATCCTGATGCATGAGTATGAGGTAGGGCTTATGAAAAGGAGGGATCCACTCACCAGGGCTGGCTTTAGGTGACACGGGTGGTGCTGTTCATTGAAGTGGGGCATG